TAAAACCTCATTTTTCCATTAAGTAATCACCTTACACTTTCCTTTATCTTCTGCTATATCTAAAATTTTCTTGTTGCTTTTTAAGACCCGTGGTATGAGTCATTTTTCACCTCAGCCTCATTTTATAATCATTTACTTCGTTACACCTTTACACTCTTCCTTAGCCCTTTTTTACACCACTTTTTCTTTAGAATTCCTCTCCGATTTCAAGATCTGTTAAGATAACCCATTGGAACCATAACAATACCTTATTATGCCTTCATTTTCACAGAACTCCACAGTTCTTTTGCCATCCTTTACTCATCATATTACCTTTCCAAAAGCACTACTAGTTCCCTAAACTTGTGAAGTTGGACTATCTTTTTATTGATGTCCATTATCCCTATTCTCCTTTTCTCACTTCTTCCTCTTCTTCAAACAGCGCATGCTACCATCTCACGATCACTTTCACACCAATTACCTTCTGACTTCCTTATAGCCCATTCTTCCTTAGGCATAATGAAATGTGAACTGACGGCTGCCTTAACCTCTTAAACATGTAGGGATAACATTGTCAATCACAGGAAATTGTGAAGCCCTGTCTGTGTCCCAACATTGCTTTTTTAACTGCCAGCGAAATTAAAATCCTCCATTATTCCAATTTCTTGTCTTTGGGGCATTTCTGTCAAAAATGCACTTTCAAAAAAAGTCTTCCTCAGTGTATGTCTTTTGTGTATTTCCATGCAGCTATTCAACAAGTTTGACCTTCGCCTGTCCTTAGCTTCAGAGCAAGTACGTATGGTTTGGACATGCAGTGCTACGTTGTCCTCTCTTCATCCCTACCTGTCCTTGACGAAAAATTATCTCCTGTCTCAACCAGTAGCCTTGTGCTTTGTCCTACTACGTCTTACAACTTTCAATTGAACTTCTGAATAGTGATGAAAGTTTGTTGAAAAAGAAATTAAAGGAAGGATGTGATAACGGTGAAACAACTCATTTGAGTTATCAGTCAAATTCAGTACCCATTCCATTTCCATGAAGAGTAGTTGATTGCTTTGTGTACTTTACTGATTTACATGTGAAAATAATGAATGTTTAGAAACTTGGAATTAGAATTAAATATATTGATATGAGGGAATAAAATATAGTGTTTAATTTGAATATTTTTTTTGGTTCGAATTCCAGTTTTGCAGAACAATTTCTTTTATCTTTTCTCTCCCCTTGGAATGGAGAAAATTTCAAAACCATGAAATGTCCCACAAAAAGGGAAACACGGTTTCTAGTGCTATTTATACCCCCAGACCTACAGCTGCTGCTAATAAAAAAGCAGACACAGACTCCTAGAGCATTGCTCCTATTACAACCACATACAAATTCAGTTTTAAGTATTGCTCTTGTGCCTCTCCCACAGACACATGCCCTGGGCGATGCACAGCATTTTCTCTAAGCAGGCAGAAAAAGAGAAGGGGAGAATGAAAAATGTCAGGAGGAACCAACAGAGATGCTTGATGTCAGGCACCAAAGAGAAAAAAATGCAAGAGAAAAATAAAAATAAGAAAGAAAAACAGGAAAAAAAATAGGAAATAAACACCCAAAAAAGGGGGGCATCTACAACTGTGCCAATCATGGCACAAGAAGAAATAGCACACATCTATCAAAGCTGGTAGGTCACTTCATCAACACTTGAAGGCATAAACAGCAAAGGTACAAGCAGAACACAGGATATGTTCTAACAGATCTTCTTTAGGGCCAAAATTGCTGGTCATGGGCAACTCCCAACACAGTCAATGGTAATAAAACGTTTTGGACTATTCTGGAGACAAAGCTAAGCGTGGACTAGTCATTGTTCTGAAGAGCTGTTTGCTTTTGCAAGGTTTTATACAGAAATCACAAATATTCTTGCTTTTAAAAAGCTACTTAGCATGTTTAACCCAGAATTCAGGTGGAATCACTACCTAAATGAATGCAAGGAATGATTTAGTATTTCTAGATGAATAAAAGTGAAGATGATGAAATATAAATCTAAAAGTGGGAGGGTGGTTAGAAATACATTTCTTTTTTTCCCCTCATATCTCCACTACTTTTGACAGCTCTGCAAGTTTGAAACATAAAATGTCTGAAATGAGAAAAGTAGACATACTTACAAATATATATTTTTAAAACCGTAAGGTTTTTATGACTTTGGCTTCAGAGAGGCCATACGAGGGCATGCTATTGCCTGCAAAGACCCATCCCTATGTATTCTCTTATCCTGAAAGACTTGCCGTGTAATGTTTCAGCCTTCCAACCCCATACAATGAATCTAACTCCCAATTCACTAGCCCTTTTTTAAAGATGACTGAGTCCTTTTGCACCACCAATGGCATCCAAACTGAACAGATACCTTAGCACAGAGACTTGGGTTATCAGAAACTAGCAAAGGCAGGATCTTGACAGTACAGTTCTGTAATTTGAGACCGACTCTTACATACCACATTTGTTCATTTGCTGTGTAATAAGCTTACCAGCCATACAGTTTTAAGTTAGCTCATTGCAAGCTTGGTGGTGTTGCTCACCTAACAAAATTGAGGTGATAAAATATGTTCAAATTCCAAAACTTAACTTCTATCCTGCCATATGGGACAGAAGCACAAGGAAAAAAAAAAAAAGACACAAATGTTTATTGGATTGTCAATACAGAGAGAGTAAAGTAGATTTAATTCAAGTAAGACAATAATGAAGTCTCTTATTGAAATAATACTGTGCTATATAGTCATTCTTACTATAGCAAGATAAGTGGAAGGTTCAGATCCTCATTGGCCTGACAAGAGGCAGGAGGCAGGGCAGATTGTGAGAAGGTGCTCAAGATCAGTAGACCTCAGTAATCTAACCTGCACCGGGCCCTTAAATGGTCCCCTGAAATAAGGAAGGCCTTATAATCCAACGCTCTTCATACAAGGAACCTCAATGGAAATAATTGTCACTGTGTTCTCTTCCTACTACTGCCCCTTCAGGTCAGTTAGCCCCATACCTCTCTTTCCTTGCAATGGGATCATTAGGTCACACAGACCGTAAGGTGAACAAAAAAATGTAGGATCCTCCCTCTGCCTGGGAAAAAAAAAGGACTGGCTCAGTATTTGGTCTATTTACAGAATGGACTACATCTGGCTTGCTACTCATGTGGAATTACATCAGAAAGAGCCGATTTGACCGTCGGGAATTGAAAGTTAATTCCATTCTGCAAATCACGGCACCAATCAACATCCAGTCAAGGAATAACATATTTTCCATCAAGTACCCATGCAGTTCTCACTGATACCAACTGGAAACACGTACGTGGAAAGCATAATCAGTCTGTCCTCTTGCTAACATGGGGGTATGCACTCTATTAAATAAGAAGCAAGCCCTAAGGAACCTCCATCTTTCTACAGATACATCCACGTGGAGGCATAACGTATCTTCTTTTCACAGTAGCTTTAAGCACACAAAGACCAACACTTTTCTGTTAAAAAAAGGACAATCAAGATATTTCCTCCTCTTTCTGTCTGCAGAGAGTTCTCCGAAGTTTCATGAATTTGAAAAGTTTCTGTAATTGTCTGTTTGAATTTAATTACATTGAGATATTTATAAGTATATTCACTAATATTTTTCACTAAAAAGTTATACTTTAGATTTACATTTTGCTACCATAGCTTCCCTACCCAGTCTCTAGCCATAAAAGAGAAAAAATAAAAGTTCCCAAAATAATAGCAGAATTGACACCCGGTGTGATGTTTGTGTATGTATGCACATGTTTGTGCATGAGTGCTGAAGGTTTTTATTTGTGATGTTACAGATTCAGCCTTCGTGAAGTGAGTTTTAACATCTGAACAATAACAGCAGCAATAACAGATTCACAAACACTCCCTCTCTATAAATGCGTAGGGAAATATGCACTGTATTATCTTTATGTGAATATAAACACTGACTCTCTGGGCATCTTGCTGATATTTTGTAGTGGGTCATTACTGCAGCTGACAAATCAGGAGGTACTTAAATGTAACAAGGACTAGAAAGAATTTATAAAGCCTTTATAAGCAGAGATTTCACTCCTTTTCCCTAACCCCTATTTAATTACAGAGCCTTTCTAATGCCACACAATACAATTTATAGTTACTATTAAAAGTAGCCTATCCAAAATTATTAGCTACGTGCAAAGAAAGGAATGAGAAATTAACAAAGGAATTGGTTAGTAAATTAGAGGCTATACATTTATACTATAAAAATAAAACAGTGAACATGGTTCTTTTTAGCTTAGATATTTTACTATCTTTTAATGAATCATTATTAAAACCAGAAATATATAGAATAGTGCCATTTATGCTGAACAATCAGTGACTTATAAATTATTATACATGGTACAACATTTCAAGCTTTCTATTGCTTTTTAAATACGAGTCTGCACTGATTCCCATTAGGGCATAGTGGTACTGAAGTAAAATAAATAATCATAGTAGCAGGACAGGATAGCATTTGCTGCAGAGAGGAAATACCACATTTTAAAGCTATGCTATCCTGGATCTTGGCCAAAACACCAACACAATTCTGCACCAGAGAAAACCTGGGTATCAAGTAAATGCATATTTGAATGAGCTAAGCCTGCAACTAGCCTCAGCGCTCTTTCCTCTCCTGGTATCTGAGTGCAGGCTTTCATAGTGGTGACGGGCGAGATTCTGGCAGATACAGATGCATGTGTTTGAGGTTTCTTTTGAGATATTCTCTGCTTCCTAAATAGCTGGTGAAGTAGGGTCAACATGAATGTAAAAAAAAAAAGTCTCCCAGCTGCTATGAGGTATATTGGAAGCTTTATTTTGACCTTTGGTATTCAACCTATGCCAGTTCAACCGAGACAGACAAGCAACGACAGCACAGAGTTTGCATCTTGTACCATTCAAAAAGCAAAAATACTAAGCGTATGCTCAGTTTGGTGTGTCAAAACATATGAAACAAAAGAGGTGATGAGTGAATGTACCAAGCTATGTTGTCTCTTTTGACTTTCTTACCTCATTTACATAGACCCAGTGACTATCCTTTGATGCAAGGTTGGTTTCCACAGCCTACAAAAATAAAAAGAAATATAATAATAAAAATAAATAAAACATGTGAAACATATTCCAGAAAGAACTTGCATAACAAGGTGCTATAAAGCTCATTTTGATTGCTTTCATTGCTATTGGCATTGTTTCAGTACAGTTCTTTTCATGTCTTCCGCTGCTGCTTCATGGAACAATAACATATCGGTGGTAGTCACATTTCTCAGACTTCAGTATCTAAACCAAAGTACCCTGTACCATGAAGATATTCCCTAGATGTACCACAAAGCATACTGGAGCAGGGTGGTACATCAACATGATAAGGGATCCTATGATGAACAACTGCACGCAGAACATGCAGTTCATGAGATTTAACTTCCCTATGATATATCTAATGCATCCTAGTAGGCTGGGTTTTTTTTTTTCCAATATGCCTCCCAAAATATACTGCCTCTGCCTCATTGCAACACTGATAGTTTAACTGTTAGCTAACCTATTTAATGAAAAACACCACTCTGAGACACTCAAGTGACGTTCATATGAGTCATCCTCTCTTCATATTTACATAAGACCCAAGAGAAAGTTATGATTTGCATGGACAGTTTTTTTTGGCTTCCTGGTGTGGACTTGGATAATCACTACATATTATAAAGAAACAGCCCATCTCGTTGGACAGCATATTTATCCATACATATATAACCCTCGTGGTTCACTAAGACGCTAACATTGGGAAAGACTGCTAGCACAAACAGCACTACTAGTACTGAGGACCTCAGCGGAAGGATTTGGCAATATACACGGAAGTTTCTAACTGCCCCCTTTGTTTGACATAGATAAGCTCACTTCAAGATACTTTATAGTCTAATAAAGCAATATCAAGCATCAAGAGGTGTACACTACAGTGATAATGATATTGCTAATGTCCTGCTTAACACACAGTTAAACTATTGTGGATTCATCTCACCTAATAAAACAGGACAGTCCCAGAGCACACATGTATTTCAGGAGGCAGTTCAATACACACAGTTTTGAATGACCCTGCCTTCAACCACTTCTTTCTTCTGTGCCAATATGACCCCATTTATTGAACAGATATTCTTATCGCTGTGTTATAAATGGCCCTATGAATCATTGAAATGAACCTGGTTAAAAAAAACAAATACAGATGAACAAAATACTTGCAGTTACTGTTTTTAACCTGGATAATTTCCACACCCTGCTCATTGTGTGTGGCCTCAAAAGCAATTGCACCAGTACAGAGAGGCTCTGTAGACTGCAGCACTGGGCTGGGCAGGAACATCATCAACCACCTTCCTCTCCAGAACACATTTGCATAATGAGCCTCTCAGATATTTAGTGTCAGATGGGATGAATCACCTTCTTTCATGACACTGACTACAGATGACTGACTTAGAATAAACGCCCACGACTTATAAGGCTGCAGTGAAATGACAAGATATCCATCCTTAATATAGGCAAAGGGAGTTACCTGATCCTAGCAAAAAACAAAGCAAAAACTGGCTAAGTAGCCAACACCAATATTTTTAACATTACTCTTAGTTTATACTGTGTTAAAAAAAAAAAAGTATGAATTACTTGCCTAAGTAACTGTGTTTTAAAACTTTACTCATTTGTGCAGCCTACACAAACCTAGGAGAAAACTGTGGGCCACACACATACCTCAATTGATTTCTCATGTCCACAAGGTGAAGTACTCCTTTAAAGAGACACAAATCCCAAAAGAGAAACCGCAAAGAAATTGGAAAAGAAAAATCAACACGGACAGGGCACCGTATTTCTCATCATCATCATAAACAGCATTATGGGAAATTAACCATCCCTGGTGTCACAGCAGTTGAGAACTACTGGAGACAACACTTCTGACAAGATAATCCTCTCCTAAGCATGCAGTGAAAAATGGCCTCCCTTGGTAATTGTCTCCCTTGCGTTTCTTTTAAGCTGGCAGGGAAATTAAACTGACCACCTAATTGAGGAATCGCAGCTATTAGGCAAGCTAGCAGTAATGAAAGCAAGGGCAAAAACTTGTAATTTTCTCCCTATTCACCCCTCTAACATATTCAGACAAAGCCAAAACAGCCAGGTGCTGTAACATATAGAGGAAAAGCAAAATGCTGCCAACATTAGCAAAGCAGAACTGAATAATGCTCAGGTGCAGAGTTATTGCACTGGCTACATTTTGTGATTTATCTGCAACAGTGAGCAATTTGTATGAATAAATGCTAAGTCTGGGGAGCCGCAAGAGCCAGGGAATTTGAAATGAATTACTGTAACTCATTCTTCTGGGTTCACATATCTGGGCCAAAGTTTTTAAAATGAGGTGCCTAAATTTAGGTTGCTGAGTTTATCTTAGTCATCAGAGTGCTAGACCATTCAGCACCTCCCTCAGAAGTCAATGGCTCTGCACTCTAAAAGCCTGAAATGTATTTAGAAACATAACCATAGGTAGGCAAGTTTAAATATCTATAAATATCTTCTGTTTAGAGCTGCAACACATAGCATGAAGCATTATTCCAAACCCAGACATGCTGAGAGGAAGCAGAAACTTCTTGCCATTTTGTCCTTCAGATTTCGCACCATATTTACAGACTTGCTGTCCTAAAGAATCCTAAAATGAACTACTGAAAGACACATCTTGGAGGTTTCAACCTTCTGACAGCACTGGTGTATTGGAGGTGTATTGCTGGAATCTCATGGAAGTTAAGCAGCATGAAGAACAAGGTCCCGGAGACATGTGATATCAGAAGAAAATTTATTCAGGATTCTTGGAATAAGAAAGCCATTACATGCTTATAACTTATGGAGTTTCTTTTTCTTTAAAGAGGAAAAAGTATCAGCACTTGGGAGGTTATGGTCACCTGTTTTTAATTATTCAAGCTGTTCAAGAACTTGCCATTTGCTTAAGCTTGTGCCTCCATCCGTTCAAGAAGAAAAAAAACTGCCTGTGAAACATTCTGAAGGATCTATTACAGCCTATTTCATAAATGCACCCTATATTAAAGAAAGTAGGCTAGGAATTTGAGTGATCGCCGTGGCTGAGGAAAAGCTCTGCCATCTATTGGGGCAGGATTCATGTGCTAAAATATGTTATGGGTTTTTTTGTGGAAAAATTATTAATATAGGTGCAAAATAGCCTAGTTCTTCATAGACTCTATATGTACATAAGGTCTAGTTGACACTTGGAGTAATGCCTCACAACATTTCTATCAAATAGAAAATCTGCTTTTGAGATAAACAGCACACTGGAAATTAAAAAGCATCCATTTTTCCTTTATTTTCTCTTAGACTAGCAAATAGCTTCTACAAATTTGGAAAAAAGAGGGTTTTTTGAGACTGTATGCCCTTCTTCCTCCCCAACTACATTTCAACAGCCAAATGTTAAAACGCAGAACCCAAACAAGAGAATTATAATTCACTCAGTGGACCACTATTAATGACAACATATAAATGATATTATCAGAATTGGGCCAGACTGGGAAGAGGGGAAGTGGAGCAGTCAATGTAGAAAATTGTTTATTATTTCTCAGTAGAAAGCATTTGCAATAGAAATGAAATAGGGAGACACTGAAAAACAAAATACGAGCATTAAGATTTCAGATCTCATACCAACAATGATAAAAGAAAAAATAAGATGCTTCATGCAAAATGATCAAAGATATTTTCATGCATATGACTTTGTTTACTTTTAAATGTATAACTTAAAATAATTTACCGCCAATAATCCACGCCAACATTATTTTATTGGAATACAGCGGAGAACAAACATTTACATTGCCTTTACGAATAAGTAACTCGGTTCATTATTTTATCTAATGGCAGTTGCAGGATTAAAAGGAGAATTTAAGAAAGTAAGCAATAAATACTGCTATGCTCACAAATAAAGCAATTCTGCAGAAAAAAAACAGAACAGAAACAATCCTTTCCTGACCTTCTCAAAAAATCTGAAACTGAAAACATTTCCAAGCGTATAATGGCTGAGCTAGTAATAGGGAAGGCTCTTTTAGACAATACCTGGCTGCTTTGCCGGGGTCAGCACCTTGGTATTAACGGCAAAAAGCAGGCTGTGTAGAAAGGAGTGTAGGGACGAGTGGCCGGACACAACTTAGAGATGCTGGTGGGTATTCAAAGAGACACGGGCAGGCTGTGTTCCAGTGACAGCAGAGCGTGCTGAAGAGTTTAGGCTTACATGCATCTGTGTTATACTTACAAACCTCTTGTCTCCTTACTGTGCACCCAGGGGGACAGGCAGCAGGAATGTCTGGAAGCCCCGTAACCAGCCCTGGGATCCTAGAAGGAAATGTCTTGCAGATGGCAAACACAGATGGTCCTGTTGTGTCTAAATTTTTGGAAACAAGGGCTGCCACCCTGAAATCCATGATATAAAAGAACCACCAGACTGTTTTGCTCGGAGGGATATTAAAGTAGTAAAGGGTATTACTTGCACATCCTTTACCTTAATGGTGAGGATAAAAAGCTTTATCCAGAAAGCTTTCCAGAAAAAAAAAAGAATGAGAGGGTAAACTGTGGAGCTCACAGAAAATAATTTGGAAAGAGTGTCCGAAGAGATACCGAAAGAACACAAACCCAAAGTTGTTGCCAACCGATGACTAATTGCAGCTGGCAGCAGAGAGCAGATACACCTGCAACGCCGTGAGTGCTCTGTGGAGGCACCGGCAGATAGACCCGACCATCTTGAGACCACAGCTCGGGGACCCAGGCCCTGTTAGAAAGCTCCTCCTACGCAGCTGTCTTCCAGCTTGCAACCCCACTGCAGACTCCTGCCATCGAGACAGACTGCCAACGGCCAGCCCCCAGGACGCTTACAGCAGAAAACCAGGCACGGAGCGAGCTAGCCAGTGAGCGTCTGAAGAAAGAGCCTGCAGGAGACCCGAGTTCTTTTTAGAGACCAGGGCAGTGGGGGATGAGGTTAGGAAATACTCAAGGTCAGCTTTATTACTGTGAAATAAGTAAAAAAAAAAATAGATACACCTTCATCACAGGCAAAT